GATGAATTGGCAGAGGATGAAAGGATGTGTGCAAAAAGATCGTGATAATACAATATATATTATATTCAAATATATATATATGTATATATATATATATATGATAATGGTAAACTTAATGGTAGAGAGAAAGAGAGAAATACGAATTCGTAATCCTTACCTAGAACTTGTCGTAAACTCATAACAATGAAATATATTTGACGCGCTATATCATATAATATAAAAGAAGCGTGGTACGTATGTGTTCCATTGTGTATAATGTATACACGTGTGTGTGTTTTTTATCTCGTCGTGTACGTCTGTATATCTTATTTTATACTTTATTTTATACTTTCTAAGTTCGTCAGAGGGTCTTCCCTTCCTAATCTACGGGGAGGCGAATTAGAAGTGCATGCCTATATCTTACATAGACACATATTCAAATATCGATTTCGAAGAGCACGAGTCGTAAAACTTTTAACAGCTAATCGTTTAATGGTTTCGATGCGTAAGTATTATAGCAAGACAGCGTAACATTCATTACTATCATTACGTAACGTTCGCAATGATATATTACAAGAAACCCGTGTGTTTTTTCAGACTGAAAGAACCTTCGAAGCCGCCTTCGCGGATCGCATTCTCTCCGTTCAGATCATTTAAAGTTTTAATATATGAAGTTTCATTGTAAATCACAGTTCACTCATACACGTTGAAAAGATATAATGCATTCAAGGTACGCTTCAATTTCATAACGAAATGCATTGCGGCACGTCGATCGAGAGGGATCGGCTTTTTGTAACAATAAATAATTTCTTTTATACATCTTTTTGAAACATATATCACAAATCTTTCGCGGACTAGAAAAACACGCGACAGTAACACTAATAAACATAATCTTTGTTATATGTAATATTTCTCTTTTTTTTTCTTACGCTGCATTCAAAAATGTTATCGGATTTTTTTCAAAATTATGACAGAGAGAGAGGGGGGGGGGGAGTTTTAATTTTTCGAAATATATAAAACAAGGAGAGATACGCTTGAAGAAAGCATACGATCGCTTTTTTTTTATTGCCATGCTACACTATCCTCTCGGAGGCAAAATTGTATTAGTTTACACACGCCCATAGGGATTCCGGATCCTATGGACGATTAAACATTGATACGATCTTAAACAGTACATATGTATTTCGATATGTGCGATCTTAAGTAGAACCGCCGCCGGTGCATTGCAATCGAGAAGCTTACTTCTAAACTGTCTTAAATGCACATTAAAATGCATTAGATAGCTTTGCTATGCATAATTTTTTTAAGGATATGTTCTTGAGCTTTCGGAAGTAAGCTCTTCGATTTCATGGATCGCCGTTGTTTCCCTCTCGTTCTCTATGAATTAGTACATATTAATGATTAGTCTTGTAATTGGCACAAATTTTCTCGTGTATTTATAGATGATCGAACGGTTTTAATAAGAGAGGATATCTTGGTAGATGATTTAGGTAATGAGGAGAAGAAAGTGAATGTAGATGAGAAGAACAACGTGAGGGATTCCACATAAACGATTCTGCAGTCGTCCAATACCGTTTGGAAAACTGACGGACTTACTTTCGCTACATTTATATACTATAATGCTGTATTATAACGAGACAAGATTATAACGAGCAATCCTAATGAGAGGGCGAGAAAGACAATAAATCGATAAAATTTTCATTTACAGATATATAATATATAAATCAACGAATTTAAATCTAATTGTTCCTATAGCACTCGCTTCAGATCTCTGGTACAGAAAAAAATGTTCATATTTTATAATGACAAGCGCCGCAAGCATGATATTATTTGAAATGTTATTATAAGTGGAATATTAATTTAGACTGGTAACACACACAAACACACATACACACACACACTCACACACAACAGACACATACGCACGCACACGCACATGCACACTTGAAAGAAATAACATACACACACAAACACACACGGTGGTCGTTCAATATATAAGTATCTAAACGGAAATTGTGAAAATTAATGATACGCTGTAATTTTAATAAACAACTTACGATCACACAGGGTGGTTCAAACATATATCGCTGAACTTGAAACATTCTGTTTTTTAAAAATAATAATAATATAAAATATAGTCGAGATATTTAATTTATTTTTTTTTTCATTTTGTAGTCACTATATGAAGAACGTATATTTCGATGAATTACTAAATCAGACATAAAAGATCGTTCAACTTTCAATTTATAATTAAAAATTAAAAAATGTGTTATAGATATTTTTTTTCTTATGTAAATATACTCTTAAAATTTACAAGTCTGCTAAACTTCTTTTTGTTGATTAAGTTGTTTCCTTAAGATAATAACTTTCGAGTGTCTAAAACTTTAAGAAGACATGACACTCAAATTGCACATAAAGAATAAAAACATTTATTATATAGAAACATCATCAGTCTGTTGTAAGTAAATTATATTTTGTTAATATTACGTTTGTAGATGTTAACTTAGTCAATATTTTTTTTCCCACATACGATACGCAATCAAGCGACATAGATTTGAATTACTCTGTAATCTCTTTACAAATTCTAAATAAAGATCCATTCTTTATGCTGGAATGTCGCTGTGTGACTGCTACGATTGTCGACAAGACAAAAAAATCGAACATTAATTAAGTATCTTATGCTTCACGAAATGGATGAAATGGAGAGGATGCACATCATGCGTTCGAATATAGCAGTAGAAGAATATGTTATGTGTGAATGTGTGTATGTGTGCGTATGAATGCATATTTTATACATACAGGATATCCAAAAATGTGCGGGGTTTACCTCCTTCCGAATACGATTTGACTTAAACTTGGGAACGGACTTTTTTCCTTTATCCGAAAATAAGTCCATACGTCTAGTCTAAGTAATCACATTTAACTAAAAAGTAATCAAATTCCACTGAAAAGTTAAATTTACAAAATGCGAATTAAACTTGGAATAGATAATATTGAAATTCTATTTTATTAGATTTTATTAAAAACTATTTTTCTCAGATTATTTGAAACTTAATTTAATAATTTATAATTAGAACTAAAAACTTAATATGAAGAGATGAAAAATTATAATATCACAAAAATAAAATTGACAAGCGATTAACTTCAACTGATAAAAAATACTGTGATCGAAAGAATGCGATTTTTGTGATATCCTGTATGGATATACACGTGTGGCTTTGACCACACGTTTAGAGATTAACAAATAAATACAGATATACATACACGCGTCGGACTATATGTATGTGTGCCCAAGCCGACGCGCTATAAATTTAGGCCCGCGTTTATATCTCATACTTAATATTCTATATGTAATCATTTAAATTCTCAATTTCATATAACATTTTATACGTAACTTTCATTATGACAAATAAAAACCACTCGCGATAGTCAGGTTTAGCGCTAAATGCGAGACATAAACGTGAGCCTTAACAAATCGATATCGTCTTATAAAACAACTAAATGAAAACATTTGTACTTTAGCAGTATAGAGCAGTCATTTTTTGTAGTTACCCTTAATATCGTTTTATCTTCGTTATATTATATTTTATACATATATATGTAATATATTTTTTTAAGAATAATTCCCGCCTCCCTTGGCACGCCGATATCGCCCACCGTTACCATTATCCTTGTCACCATCGTCCTCAATTTCATTAATAATGAATATGGTATTCCGAATGTCGCGCATTTGCCCTCAACTGCGGATGCCAGATGTTGAACTTTGAAAAACATTTCGGAAACCTCAAAACAAATTACAATAGTTAGAAAATTAACAAGATATAAATAATCAGTTGCAATTTAGTGAAATTGAGATATCGCTCGCTCTGCAGATTTGTACAGTAGATAGCAATATTTTAATTCTCATATAATTTCCACAAGTGGATCTTAATGAAATGTTAATTTGTGGATTAATTAATCTGACAGACGTTCGTCGGATTCAAAGTCGCGAAAAAGTGCACGATGAATAGAGTATATGCACGTATATGTACGTATAATTGCGAGTATGTAAATAGGGACGTTAATTAAAATTCGGCCCATCATTTTCTCGCATGAAGAAACAAAATTTATTTACGTAATACTTTATTTCACGAAGTATCTTAATGGTGCGAATATTAGTACGGTTTGATATGTATAATTCTTTTTCAATTTTAACAAAAGTGAGATAGATTTTCGAAAATTTCACTAAAAAATATAAAGCACTTTAAAACTAGGAGAGCATAATATTTACTATTTATATTTTTATATGTTGTACACTGTTCTCATATGTCCAAGCCGCTTGATAAATGGAATAGTATAAGTTAAATATAAATAACATGAATTGAGTATTCGAATCAAACGATCAATTTTTTAAAATTTACCTTTGTAAATTAAATAATTTGCGAATGTAAAACG